GTGATTTTGATCTACTCGAAGGGGGATCTTCAGAGATCTTATGTAGTCTATATCGTCTTTAAGAATGGGCGGAGTCGCTAACGCCTTAGTCAGAATCTTATGCGTATGTAAACTTAGCCTAAGGGGTTGCCCGTCCTCATCCCAGGTATCCAACTGAACGCGTCGGCTCGGCTCCTCTTGGATGTTATTTGAGCCGAAGGTATGGAGTCTCAGTTTGGTATTCTCTACTGTGGCTAATCCCAGCTCATCAGCCAGTGAACTGTCAATAAATGACAATTCTGCCCCTGTGTCTAACAGAACAGCCACCTTTCTGAGACCTCCAGATGTCGGGTCGAACACGGTCAACTCCCCTGTTGGTAAGAATGTACACTCGAGTTTTCGATCCCTTTGTGCCGACTGGAGTTCACAAATCGTCGTATTCATAATTGGTTCCAACGATTGGCCGCTCTCATGTGGCCTCTGTTGTTCACGAATCATCGCAATCTGCTCCACATCATCTCGTGTACAGACTTGGTTAACGTTTCGGGTGGGTTTAGGGGCCTGTTGTGCCTTTTTTGCTGTACTGCTTCCCTGGGATAGTGGCTGGTTGCGGCGCGTTGTTGGGTGACTCATATTTTGCGAAGGGAAGCGCGATTCTGGAACGTTCTTAAAACAGCAGGATGTGTGGTGAGTCCCTTGGCATACAAAGCACAATCTTTTCTTACACTCGGATGTTGCGTGCTTCGGAGATGCGCAGATTAAACACAGTTTATGTTCCCGTAAGTAACGAGAGCGTTCCTGTGGGGTCTTATAAGTATCACATGCAGCAGGCCTGTGGTTTCCCTGGCAGTACATGCACGCGTTGAAAGGGCGATTTCCTTTCCTTTCTGTACGCTGAGTCTGCTTTTGGAACTCGAGATTTCCTCCCGTGAAAAGTAAAACCGTTTCTTCACTCGAAATAACCTCTTCCAAGAAGTTCATTAAGGTGTTCATTTCGAAACGATTGTCGGTAGGTAACGCGTGTTTTTTCTCCAAGACTTTACGCTGAACTACCAGAGGGAATTTGGAGAGCACCTGCTTAAGAAGCCATTGACTATTAACGTTTTCACCCTTCTGCTTTAATTGCGAAACTACGACTTGAAGCTCTTCAAAGAAAGCGCGTTGATCTTTCAAAGACGAGGATCGTAACTGCATCCTATCAATCCTGTCTATGAGCTTATTTACCAACTCTTCCGAGTTCCCGTATTTGGATGTTAAGAACTCGATAGCCTTAGAGTAGTTTTCAGGGGACACGTGGAACTTTTTGATAGCCGCTAGGGCGTCCCCCTTTAGTGCATTCAGAAGGTAGTTGAATTTATAGAGTTCGGGTAGGGGTTGAGAATGGATATTGGCCTCAAATAAGGACCAGAAATTCTCCCACTCCCAAATATTGCCCTTAAAGGTGGGTACCGGCAATGTTGGGAGCTCCATTCTTCTAGCCCTTGGCGGCATACTCGACTCGTTTTCGTGTAACGCGTTCCCTGTGCTTCGCTGGGGGCGAATGTTACCACATAGTCGATAGCCTTGGCCAGACCCTCTTCTGCCTTTTTGGCATACTCGTCATAATCGTCGTATTCCTTTTTGGATGGCTCCTGCAGCGCATCTAAGGTTGTGGCGTAATCCCCAAGAAGACTCTCGATGCGTGAGGTGCAAACTCGAATTGCCCCTATGCCTTCTTCTAGGCGTCTGTGAGCATCTTGATAATCGATTGGGGATAGGTCTTCCGTAACGCGAAGGGACTCTAACTCTTCCTCTTTAAAACGCTGCACGACTGTATCTAGTTTGTTAGTAGTCTGTGTTAGTTGGCGTTTATAAGAAATTAACTGAACCGCCATTGCGTGGGAGTGTAACCTTTATATGACCTACGAGACTTATTGCCCTACGTACAGTATCCAAAATTTGCGACACTGATTTGCGGCAAAAATGAAAGCCACATGGTTGACGAAGGCTGATTTGCGGCAAGAAATGAAAGCCACGCGGTTGAAGATGGTTAGTAGAATCGAATCGTGATTCCAAAAGGGTGTGAGTTGAAACTCGTTTCTCAAAAACTCACTGACACAGCCTGGGTTCGTAGTTGTCCTGATGCACCATAACGCGGCGCGTTCCTAGGCAGAATACTCGGACTGATTGGCGCGAACTGCGGTCGGTTGAACACTCCGTGAGAATACTAGTCACCTTAGACGACTGCTACGAAGCTTTATTAATGAATACAGCGAAGACTACGCAGGAATAGTTGACGATTGTCCAGTCGATGATAAACCAATCCACCGTCAGACGAACTCGGGAGCAGTCCACTACGCGGGAACCTTCCAAGAGCCAAAGAGCCCCGATTCCGTGGGCGAGTGCCTTTTATCCATCGCGCTGGAATCTTGTTCATCTTCGCAGCTTTCTAGAAGAAAACAATCTGCCATATCTCTTAATCTAAGCACTACAGTAACCAAACTTTACAATAAAGAAAGGCATTACTTTTGGTCGACTATCGTCGACACACGGTCTGCACCCAACAGTTTCTCGCTTTTTGATAGGGAGGGTATGCGCCTTCAACAGCGGTTGGTAACTTATATATGTATGCATTCTTTCGGAGAAGTAAAAGATATATAAATGACTTGTGGCATCGTCAACATACCCTCTTTCAAAAAAGGAGAAAGCATCGGGTACAGATCATACACCACAAGTGACGACGGCCTTCACAAATGTAAAAATGTTTTTGCCAATGAAATGATTAGCCTGTTGCAGTTGTATTCTATCAGTTGTCACTAATTACAACTATCATTTACCAAAATCAGCTATCACTATGAACCACTACTAACCAGATTTACTTGGAGGCCGTCGTCACTTGTGGTGTATGGTCTGCACCCACGCTCTTCTCGTTTTTGAAGGGGAGGGTATGTTCATAATGGTATTAAAGCAATCCGCGAAAGCATCTCATGGTTAGCATGCTCGGGAAGTAAATCTGGAATACCGCATGATTCCAACGTAAAACCCAAATTTTGTTATGGCGTGACAACTTGCGGCAACTCTACGGCGAGCATACGTTTGTGTTTGCAACCGACTGGGAAAAGCGTTCTATTCGGATCTATTCTCCGAAACATGAGATCATAATATCAAGAGCTAGCGACTAAGAAACTAATCCACAAGTCTGAATGAATTATCAGCGATGGCAAATTTCTCACCCGATCGCTGTCACAACTATACCCGCTAGAGATAAGCGCGCACAACACCTCAATCAAAAGACCGAGCCAACCCAAGCAACATCAACACGAACGCAACCAAAAAGAACGGCCAAATCTCGTCATCTATACATTTGCAATCAGCAATAACAAGTTCAAAATGTGAGGACAAATCCCATGAGTCTGCAAAAAAGCGATCCACTGCCAATGGCCGATGTCAGACTCTGCGATTGGAGCGATTCGGTCAAATGTGAATCGCGCGACCATCGCGCGATCGCGCGATTCACATTACTCCC